ATGCTATATTTGTACTTCTGCTGCCACTTCTGGCTTTTGACTGTTTAGGTTTGTAAAATCTTTCCAAGTTGCTTTTTCCTGACTGCAGACGTAGGCTGGTACCAGAGTCTCCTGAAATCATAATCAAACCAAATCCCTCCTTCACACTGTTAGATTCAGAAGCAAAGAAGAATTAAATTGGTTTTATTTAAACAAAAATAAAATCTTCTTAATTAAATAACATTTTGATCAATAAAGATATTCTGAAATGTATGATGAAAGTATTCTAAAATACAGATAAAATGCTTTTTAATCGTATTAGTACTTTTAAAGTGTATAGATAACTTGATTAAAATATCATTTTTGTAAAATGATTTAGTTTCTAGAAAAAGTGTGAAAAAGTAATCACTTCCTAGACCTGATAATCGTTTTTTCCACATTTGACTGTAACAAATATCCACTTAACTACTTATGATGACTAGCAGTGAGTCTTTTATGTCACTGTGGTCGAGTTTGTTTCCACTCTTCTTTCTAGAGTATTTTGATTCATCCACATTTTAGCAGGTAATGTCAAAGCTTCACAACTGGACATTACAGACCTTCATGGACTTTGACTAGGCCTCTCAAAAAGGGTAATTGTTTAGGTGGTCAGTTAGAGGTAGTCTTGTTTGGATTATCAGGTTTCTTTTTATTGCAGGTGGGTTTTAGCTGGAGATCACAAGCTGATGGATGTACATTAAGGCTGCATAAAGTTTTCTGTGTCAGGATGTGTAATTTTCATGTTGCAAATTAGTGTTTTGAGCATAATAATGCCAGGTTAATAGATTGAAAACGTTATGAACACCAGCCTTTTTCTTGCTGGTGTAATATGTACCCAGTCGGACCAAGTCCCACAGCAGCAGATGCTTACAGGCGCAACTGGATTTGGCCAAAATGCTAAAGGTCACAGAGTGATTATTGTTTCTATTTCTTGTTCGGTGACCTTCAGTGCTTTGAAAGGCACCTGCAAAGTTCAGTTTCTTAAAAATGTTCTTTCCAAGCTGATTGACTTTGTTTCCAATCTGTTTTTCAGTTTGTTTAAATCGAGGCGTGTTGTGTTGCTTTTCGAGATCTTTTTGTCTATTTAATCTTGTCAGACGGTTTGTATTTAGGCCATTTACAGATTCTGAACTTGATTGTGATCATATCTGGGTGTGGTTAATGAAATTAAGCTTTCCAAACAATTGTCATTAACTGCAGTTAATTCATTTGAGGAAGAGAATTTATTTTTATTTCACAGGGACGAGTTGGATTGAGTCCTTTAATGATTTGAATTGTGATTTCAATTTTTTGGTTTGCTTTTACTCATGTTATCTTTGTCTGTGATTAAAATGTGTTATTGATTCTTAGATAAATGTAGTGTAGTAGTGAACTCTGGACTATAACTAACCTACTAATGCAGGGATCAATCAGGTTAGCTGCTGTCCGCAGCTTCTAAATATCTCCTCTAGTTCTCGCTAGAGGAGAAGTATTTTGAGACTTTAAATGGGTCCAAAGACACTATGCATGTTGAAGCCAGCTGACCGGCAGTGCTCAGCATTACTCCCACTCTGGCACTTTTTAGGATCTTAAACCCAATATTGTGTCAGTTTCTACATTTTTCAATCAAATTTTTTAACCTTGATCAACTTAAAAAGTAAAACATAAACTTTTTATTTTTTTCTTAGTGCAATGCTACATAATTTTATACTGAATAGGCCTTTACAATCCTATTTTAACTTGTATTGCATTCATGCAAGGTAGAAAATGTTGCATGCGTTTGTCCTAGTCCCATGCAGTGGGTTAAGACTTAAACAAGTCATTGGAGGTTTTATAATAAAAGCAGTTTGTTTTTGCATTATCTAGGCCATTTGCTGCTAACCATAATTTTGTACATGACATAGACAAGTTTTGCATCTTTTTTTTTTCCACTGTAATTTGATACTTTTATATGTTGAATCAAGGCTGAATATAACATTAGAAACCAATAATTTGGATTTTTGTTTTTGCAGAACAGAGGCTCAAATCTTTCTGCTTTATTTTTACTAGCTTCTGTCTTTGTTATGCTTCTGTCTGGCCTCTCATTTGTTTACATAAATGTGTTCACAGAATCTGCCCCGCGTAGTCGGACTGTCATTTGGAGGAGAGACTAAAAGGGGATCGCAGTTGAAGTAATTACCCAGTTTCATCACATGAGCTGTTCCTATTTTTAACTGCGTTCAGGGGGGATTTACCAGACGTCTCATTCTTGTTTCCTGAAGTCACTCGCTGAATCACACCGACATTGCCTGTGTTTCTTCTCTCAGGGTGATCTCCCTGAGAGAGCGCTGCCACAGCATGCTATACAAACACAGACCACAGCGCTGACTGCTTGTCAGCTGTCCTCTTCACCTCATGAAACCCCGCTGTCACTGGCTGACTGTGGTAACCCAGCCTCACATTGTTTTGGTTTGATTTTGTCTTGCAGATGATGGGAATGGCTATGACCAACACGCCTCGTCCAGCACAGGATCCCTCCAGCAGGGGCAGAAAGAGGTAAACACCAACTCTCTGCTAAGCTGAATGACTCATTCATTTCTGCTGACAGCCTTTTGGGGGTGCGGGGGAGGGGTTGTTTCACTATCAGCTTATAATATTAAACTTAGTGGGTTTGAGTTGATGTAGTTTTATGTAAGTGTACAAAAACTTCTCAAAGATTTTCACAGTCCTTTGAAAAAAAATATTTAAACCTGAGGGCTCGGCGATTTGTGGCTTATTTTATAAAATCTCATTTATTTTTTGGATTTTTCTCACTTTCTTTTCTAAAACAAAATTACAAATGACTGAAAATATTTTTTAAAAAGTGGCTTTCATTTCAATCATCCCTTTTGCCAACTGTACAACGAAGCAATTACAAGAATATAGTCATAATATTATGCATAATAATATAATTTTTTGTTATTTTTTTGTGTTGGACTTCTCATAAAATTACTCCTTCATTCTCCTAATATTGTTGTCTTTATGCTGTTGATATCAAGACTGTTTTCTCTTTATTACACTTTTACAGTCATATGAATGTAGTCTTGCTTTACTACAACTGTATTCTTGTAACATTATGACCTTATTTTTGTCTAACAATAAAAGACTGAGCCTGACCCTTATATTTCGACCTAAATTCAAAGTCCAAATAAATAGATGTTTTAAAAAATAAAATAAAAACTTATCAGACAAGATGGCAGCTTTAAGTGTGCTGGTCTCACTTTGACCTATGAAACCCAAAGAGTGCATTGGTGGAAAAAAAAGGGTTATTGATTAAAATCTACTAACGTTTGTGGTTGTAATGTCCAAAAATTGTAAGTTCAAAGGATGCAAATTCTTTTGCTTGATGGATTTAAAGTTGGTGCCTTTGAAATCTCTTTGGTATCCTCGCCTGCTGCTTTCCTCTTGTGCTGTAAAAATTCATGGTATACATTTTAAGCGTTCCTTCCTTTCTTTTCAGTACATTGTGTGCTCACCGCCTACCAAAAATGTTCTACTTTGTTTGCCAAAGTCACACGTTGTAGCATCAGCTTTGTATGAGCTCACTGGACGAAGCTCTAATGCTCCTGTTTTTTCCCTCTTTTGCGTGATACATTAGTTTCCTTTAACGCCTGATGTGTGTATAGAGACGTGCGAGTCTCTCAACACCAGCCTGGCCTCCTTGGCTCCTTCCGACTGCAGTGATAGTACACAGGTCTGGAATCCCACTTTAGAGCAAATCAGTTCTTTCACTGGGGTAAGACACCAGTCAGGCATGCAAATTTGAGTTTTTAGTGAGTTTTTCTGCATCTTCTTACATCAACTCTGATCTTTTTTGCTTAATCTCTAGGATAGTTGAATGCTTTGCAGCTCTGGTGTGTTGGATTTATTGAGCATTTAATCACATCTGTAAAAGTTGTTGCTACAGCTGTCGTGGTTTGAGGATGTTTTTTTTCCCTCCTTCATGTTGCAAGGCGCCGTCTCACTGTTTGCTCGGTTCCTCCACAGATTCGGAGAAAACAGGCGCTATTCCTGAAGTATCGTTCCAGGGTATGGCATGGTAAAACAGGCTCTGTGTCTGCCTGAGTGTTTGCTGGTCTGTCTTTTGCTACAGGCATTAGCTGCACGAAAAGTACTGCTAGGTGGAAGGATGCTTTATTGATCCAGAGAGGGAAATTATATTGCTCTGACATCAAGGGAAGTCGATCATTTTTTTCTTGGTAGAGAGCAGAGTCTGGCTTGTAGCAAGCATTTTGTTTCTGAGAGCAATGAAAACATGCACTGATGGTACCATCGGCTCAGTGAGAATGGAAAATTGCTTTTGGATATATTCTTTTTTTCTCACCTGTAATAGTTTCTGCTTCGCTGCAGCGAAAGCAACACCCTGATAGTGCTGAAGCTTAATTAAAAGGCACAGTTTTGTAGATAAACATGTAGATCATTACATGTGTGTGCATGTTGATGTGTGTGTGAGTACATTGTACAGTACAAGGTATAATCTTGGCCCTACCCTGTGCTCATGACAGGAGGAAAATGTAACTAAACATATACTGCTCCGCTGGCTTATTTTAAGTCGCTTAAATGTGGTTTTGTTTAAGAAGCATGTTCGTATCTTAATGACCGGTGTCTTTTTTTAACTTTAAGGCTTTTCTAGGCTCCCGTCAGATGAAGACAACTATTTATCTAAGCTTTTAATCTATGACGGTTTTAAATAAGCTTCTGTATCTTGTCATCTTTTCTCTACTAATTTTGATCTAGTCTGTCGTATTTTGTGGATGTTCTCTATGTTTAGACCACATTTTAGGACTGAATATAGTAAAACACCTTAGAAAGCCATGTTTACTTGCATATCAAAAACCTAAAGTAATTGACAAATACATACAGTAATAAATACAGTTCTTGTTATTATGGACTATAAATTAGAATTTTTTTAATGGTAATATTACATATTTAAGAGTATAAAAGTGCATTTTATGGCATCCTGTCATTTGGGAGTGGTGAGTAAATGTATAGCAATCTGGTTAAGTTTCACTGAGCAGAGGTGGCCCCAGCAGATATCCTGATTCCATATGGCTGATGTGTAATTATAATGAATTAGAGAGTGTCTACCGTACATTTCCAGTTAAAGAAAGCCCCCACCCTGCTGCCATGGTCAGCCTGGTCCAAGATGCCCCTGGAGGAAATGACATGTTGTTGTAATGTATATGTAATTTGGAATTGGAAAGCCCTGCAAAGCTTGAGGCCTTGGGTGTTCGCTAGCTAGACATGGGCTGGTTGTAGCAACTGACCCAGTTTTCCCAGGAAATTATGGGAATAGACCATAATTCCAGTAAACTATTGTGAGAAGAATGCATGTAACCTTCTAAATTTTAAGGAAATAATAAAAATAAAACATATTAAGCCAAATAACTAACATCAAACTGGAAAGGTTTGCTTTGAAGGTGAATAACAAAGTTATATGTTTTTTAGGTGTATGTTATGAAGTGAGGCCACTGCACAGGCCTAAGAAAACATGAACAACAATATAATAGTTAATGTCTGGATTAGCATATGACTGAAAATAAATGGAAAAGGCATGAATCCCATTCATAGTCCAGTGCTACGTACCCCCACCCTCCACTTTCCCGATGCAGAGCTCTCATTTGATTAGCAAGCTGGCAGCTGCACTTCCACATCTCTCCCTACTCCACCTCCTGCTCTCTTCGCTCAGCCTTTTCTGCATGACCGTGGCAGTGAGGGGCTGTCCCGGGAAGATGGCTGGTGGGCTGGTCGGCTGATCAGGACAGAGATCAGTGCAGCCACACAGAGACAGGCAGTGCTTTCAGGGCCGGGCTCTTTTCCCCTGAGGAGAGGCAGTTTCTGTCTGTGAGGCAAGCATCCTGTTACGTTTTTCTTTTTTCTTTTTTTTCTCACTGATGCTTTACAAGCAGAAAACAAGAAGGCCATGGAGGTAAAGTGCACTTCCTTTTCCTCCCTTATTTCCTTCAGCATCAGCCCAGTAGATTGAACAAACTCACATCAGGATTAGAGCAGAGAAAGCCAGGACTGAGTGGGTTGTGGTAGCTGTGGTTGTGCCAGATGGGTTCTGTGTACTGCATGCACTCGTGTAGGTAGCTGCAGCAGTGGGGTTGAGGAAGAAACGATGTGTGCGGCTATTTTTAGCTTTCTGGACAGCTGAAAAAGCACAGTAAGACCTGTCCTCCCTTACAGTGTTACGGTTCAGTCAATATTTTTTGTTCCCCAGCCTGTTAGCCTCTGCAGGGCTAGCACTGGCTTATGCTCACTGTTTAAAATTACCAATATGAGACGATATCAAAGCTAGTATTTAAAATCAAAAGCGTAAACTGATGGGGCTTTGTGGTTGATCAGGTATTAACTCTGAAACAAAGCTGTTCCATTTTTCCCCCTGGCTTTCCTGATTTCCTCCAAAGCATTTTCTGCAAAAAAAATTGTAATTAAAGCAAGCAAAGCAGGAAGTATCCATCTTATGATCCCTCTGTCAGCATGGTGTTTGTGTTTGCTGTGAAATTGAATTTAGTGCCAGGTCTGAGACTGCAACTCTAGCTATGTTCTGTTGTTAAGTGTCTGCATTTCTGTTATCTTGTTGTAGATTGGAAAACAGAAGCTCAGCAAAGACTCTGTGTTTTTCCGAGATGGGATAAGAAGAATAGATTTCGTCCTCTCGTACGTTGACGATAAAGACTGTGAAAGAAAACAGGTAAGAACAGAGTTAAAATTAAGTTATCTGCATTTTTTCATTGTTTTTCTTCACATAGCACAGAACAAAGGATAAACTTTTCGCAAAAATTAAAAGATGTCATTTCCTGCTTTTGGAAAGAATCACTTTGTGCAGGATATCCTTGAAGTTGTGTGCCAGCCTAAATACCACAGAGTTGTTTTTGTCATCTGGCTTTGACAGATCATTCTGGAGTGTTTTTACGGCCATTTTGGACACACGGCCCCCAGACTGTGCAGTAGTTTTATCGCTATCACTCCGGAGCGCTGAAAGAGTCTGTCTGTTTCCTAGGGAGCCGTTAGCCTTCACAGCACTGTGTCACCAGCTCACACTTTGCCCACACTCTCAGTCAGTGAGTCAACAGTGTGACTGCTCGCCGTGACAGGAACTGGATCGTTTTTTCCACAGAGTGAGGAAGGGCCAACTGGAGGCCACTTCCTGTGGATTAGCCAGAGTTGTTGTATAATATGGCACTAAATCTCCTTCCTAACAAGAAGGTTTCATTTCCTTTTTAGGCCGATGTAGTCTCAAAACAGAAGGTTTTATATGGCAGCTTTCACTTACTTTTAAATCCCGTTTCTGCTGCCGTGACTTTTAACTCTACTGGATGAGCAGGTTTTGTTCATAAAACACTTGTTTTGTTTTTTCTACCAGTTATGTATCCTCGGGCTCCATGGTCATCTTGTTCTTTCACACGATGAACAGTGTGCTGCCAGATATGCATATTTCACATTAATTAAATAAATAATCTTGCATTGTTGAGTTTTTGAGCAGATTTTAAATTGAAAGTATCCATTTTCAAATAGGCCTTTTTGTCTTTTAAGATTGTTGCTCATTTTTGCCTGTGCTTTTCATAACATTCAGATTCCTATTTGTGTTTTGTGTTTCGCTTGCTCAAGGAGAGAAGGAGAATTTATGAAGCCAACCTCAAAGGAGCCGGCCTGGAGTTGGAAACAGAAGATAAGTCGGTAAGATGCCCTTCATATATACAAAATAGGTCAGAATTAGCCGTAACTGGGGCACTGTTCATGTTTCTTTTCCATGTTATTGCTTAACTGCATGATTTCTTACAGAAGAAAACTTATAATTTTGCTTCTATCATGTACTTCATATTGCTAAAGAAGTAGAGTAGCATCATATCCATTAAATTAAAAATGTGCTCGGATTAATAATATGTTTTGACAATAACCTCCTAAGCATACGTTAACATTTTTTTTGCTAAAATGTTAATTGGTTTGACGTAATACTCTAATCTTAAATTGTCAGGTTTATATAAGCTGTAAACAGGAAATCATCATAATTAACAGAACCTTTTAAGTCTGTGTGTGATTAAAAGAAGTGAACTTTTCAATAATCTCATTTGGTGAGCACTGGTGTTTTTTGTTTTGTTTTTAGATTTTTTTTTTTGTCATAAAATTATTTTTTGGGACAAAAAAAAATCCAGCCTAAATGTTAAGTCAAGTTAAGTTTATTTGTGCAGCCCATGCCAGCAACATGGCAGCTCAAAGTGCTTTTTCACTATAAAAATTAAACACTAACAAATTACGAAATAAGCAATAAACATTACATTTTGTCAGATGCCATCATCAAATCATGAAGCAAATATGCGTCAAATATATTGATCGGTGTTCCATTTACTAGGAGTCGCAGGCAACTATGATTCCATGATTTAAAGGAATTCAGTGTTTCAGCATTTTTGCGGTTTTCTGGAAGTTTGTTCCAGATTTCTGGCGCATAAACACTGAATGCTGTTTCTCCAAAATGTTTTTAGAAAAGAAAACAAACTGCAGACAGATTCATTTAAAGTTGTTTTATATGTTTAACAGGATTGCCAATAAGTGTGCACTATTTTGTATTTTTTCATTATCAGGAGTCTGAGGATGGTAAGACATACTTTGTGAAGATCCACGCACCGTGGGAGGTGCTGGCCACCTATGCAGATGTGCTGAAGATCAAGGCTCCATTCAGACTTAGCGACATACCGGACGATCAGGAAATGCCCATGAACTGGCTCTCCACTCCTTTCCGACTGCCCAAGAACATCATGAATCCCGAGCCAGACTATTTCACCACTCCTTTTAGCAAGAGCAAGTCCGACCTTTTCCTTATCGACAACCAAGACACGTTCTTCCCTCCCTCCACTCGCAACAGGATAGTAAGCAAGGCCAGCCGTATCTTATTTGTGACCGTCAGTCTTTTCGGCGTCACTTAAAACTTTTATCAGCAACATTTTGAAGGTTGTTGTAATTTGTTTGCTGAAAAACAAGTTTTTATTTTGCCTATTACAGCAGTCCTGTTCTTCCCATCCCTCCAGGTCTACTACATCCTGTCCCGCTGTTTGTATGTCAGTGAAGAATGTGGAGACAAAAAGGGAATTAAGAGGTTGTTGAACAACGGCACCTACACTTCTGCCTTCCCCCTTCATGACGTGAGTTTTTTAACCTGCATTGCTTCCTTAAAGTAAAAACAACAACAAAAAAAGACATATTTGGATTTCGAAATGAACTCTTTCTGCAATCACTTTCATAAAGAAACTAAATGATAAACTGTTTTTGTTATGCCTGCAGTCCAGATACTGGATAAGATCCAAAGATGCCAACTGTGAAAGTGAAAGATACGACCTCTACAAACACTGGGCGAGATTCTTCTGCTTTTTCAAGGAGCAGCCCATTAACCGCATCAGGTAAAACCCCTAAAGTGAGATCACCTGCCAAGCAGGTCTCAGAAATGAAAGCGTAACTGATACTCCTTTTGTATTCTGTTAAAGAAAATATTATGGCGAGAAGATTGGCATTTATTTTGCTTGGCTTGGTTTCTACACTGAGATGCTGCTGTTTGCCGCAGTCGTTGGAACGATTTGTTTCACTTACGGGTTTCTCACCTACGATGACAACGAGTGGAGGTAAGCTCCACAGAGAACATCGTCCCTGTTCCTGCTGGTTCAGATGCTACTATATTCATGTTTCCCTTAACAGTAAAGAAATCTGCAGTAATGAAATTGGAGGGAAAATTGTCATGTGTCCCCTTTGTGACAAGAAGTGCAGTTACTGGAAACTCAACACGACATGCAACTCCTCGTGGGTGAGAAATGTTGACTCATCTGCTACCCGCAATATGTGGGATTGAAGGAATAATTATGGCTAATCACAAAACAAATCAGTTTGTTGTTTATTAATGATATTATAAACCTGTTTTTCTTGCAGCAATCACACCTGTTTGACAATGTGGCGACTGTGTTTTTTGCCATTTTCATGGGAATTTGGGGTATGTAAACAAATCTGTGCTCAACGTATTCTAATTTTAAACATAGTGTGCCACCTAGTGGATTGTCTAGCTACTTTAAATATATTCCTTTAGTATAAATATATTCCTTTAAAAAAAAAAGCTAAGCTATTGTTAGCTTCTTGTTTTTATTTCAGCCTCTTTTAGAAAATAAGACATTCTGTAGCAAGTCTCACTAAGCTGAAACTTTAAACTCTGTGATCAGAGAAATGACCCTGACCCGATTTCCATGGTTGTGGTGCACCGTTTGCCCCTGCAGTGACACTGTTCCTGGAGTTCTGGAAAAGGCGCCAGGCCCGTCTGGAGTATGAGTGGGATCTGGTGGACTTTGAGGAGGAGCAGCAGCAGCTGCAGCTCCGGCCAGAATATGAAACCAGGTGTACAAAGAGCAAGGAGAACCCCATCACTAAGGTGTTTGAGCATTAATCTACCGCACCTCCCAGTAGCAAAGTCATCATTTTGTCAAAGTCAAGATTAACTGACTGGTTTGATGTGGTCACATCACCTGCTGTTCTTTCTGGTGTTCATGTGGTGGTTTGAGCATTCACAACAACAAAAAGTCTGAAATTTGATTAAAATATCTCCAGGTCTGGTTAAAATGTGAAAAAATCCCCTGTCTATTAATCTATTCACACATCATACTATTTATTCACATTTACAGTTTGAGAATAGAGCATGTCACATGTTGATATAAACAAAATTTTTAATGAAAAGGAGTAAGAAAAGAGGAAGAAAATAGCCTTATATAATCTATTCCTTTTTTCAAAAGTTATACCATTGGAAACAAACCATCACTCAATCATCCATATACAAAACAGTCAATGTGTACAGATATATAAAAATAAGAAAAAAAATCATTAATCTGTCCATCATTTGCTTTCTTTATTCATCAAAACTTAAAGAGGCCAAAAGTTTGAGTCTGGCAGTATTTTTTGTCTAGTTTCTAGTCCAAATATCTTGAAATAAGATACAACTAACTTACAGCAAGATCTAAAAACTTTTTTTAAAGCCTTAGTTGCACAGGGCAGATTATTTCACTTATAACAAGACATTTTTCCTAGACCAGAAAAAGTGTTTTTGCAGTTTAAAATGTTCACAAAACTGTGCATAGACCTTGAATGTATGAATACTATAGCACAAAATGAATAAAAGAGATGAGATTGCCATCTTTCATTACTGCGTCTTCAGGAACAAGAGGGGGTTCTTGACAAAACGGCTACATATGTAGCAGGGAAGTTTTTTCTGTGCTGGGCTGCTGTGATCCTTTGGGTAAGGTCACATCGCTTTGGACTTCCTGTTTGGTGAGGAGGAGGTGGTGCGGTGTAGCGTTGAGAAATGACAACTATTCCTGGAAAGACTCCAAGGCCTGAGTTTCCTTATTCCATTTTCAGTGTCTAGCTTAAAGAGTTTCTTGAACACAAATGCTCAAAAAGAAACTTCAAAAGATACATACACAAAAAATAGTTTCTGCCTCAGATGTGAACCTGTAACAGCTCAAGGAGCTTGGCCTTTCGGTTTTCTTTTCAGGATTTAACCAACATGCCTGACCCCAATGCTTTGCTTGCTTCTGATTTAGGAACTGGAGCCTTACTTACCCATAACAAGCAAGTGTGCACGCTCATGTCTGTCTGGAGCTACCGTCCTGTTGTGGGTGAGCATTCCATCTTCTGATCAGATTTAAAACACCGTTTCCATCTGCCGTCCTCCTCCTCTTATCTATCTCAGCTGCCTTTCACTTTTTGTTTCCTGTTTTTCCAGGGTGGCTATGTATAAACCAAAAAGGAAGCTTTGAAATACACTTTGTCAAATGTCTGGAAATGCTTTTCTACAAGAAATTGAACAACATTTTGGTATTTTTATGGTTGTGACAGTTTCAACTGAATGGTTTCAAGCATGCTGATACAAAATTTCTAATTCTTATTTCCTCATGTTTCTAAACTGGTATGACTAAACAAATAGACTCATTTGGATCTGCTAAGCCATGGGAGGCACTCTATCTTTCATACCTTTACTTTAGTGCCAGACAAAGCTTTTCTTATTAAATAACTTTAATGAGGCAACAAGAGAAATATCCCAGAAGCTCCTTTTTGCAAAGCATAGCTGCCCTGACAAAACAAAGTGATGAGATTCTTTACAGTTTATGCCTGTTAGAAACATTCTTTTTCTGATCAGAGAGCGCATCATCAAGTTGTACTAACAAGTCTGGATAAGGTAATTTAGAAAATAAGACTCAAAATTGATAATTTTGGGTACTTGTGAGGTGTTTAAAACTCAAAGGAAAAACAGATGTCAGGCATTTCTAGAAAGGGCTGCAATAAGAGCAAGATTTTCAAGAATGCTCAATGCAGAACAGCAAACATCTTGCGATTTCTGCCTCTGTTGTGAAACGAGCTCTGGAGCAGTCGGCAACCTTTTGGAAATCTAATGGATAAAAACCCACCTCCTGTGGGGAATGAACACCTATTCGGTTTAGGTAATGCTAGCCATGCTGATTGTCTTTAACATCGGATGATAAAGACAAGAAATGTGTTTTTTGTGTTTTTTTAATTACTATTTAAAATAGTAAATCTTTGCTCACACATGCAGTTCAATGTTGACTTTGCTCCTAAAATAAGTAAGAATTTATCTCATGTGGTGGAAAGGTAATTAAATATATGATGTTATAATGATTTAATCTTCAAATAGATTGGAGAAAAACTGAATTGGTTAAAACATAAATCAGCGTGTCAGGAAGTGTGCGTGCGTGCGTGCGTGCGTGTGTGTGTGTGTGTGTGTACTATATTGCATTCTTCTTCTTCCTAACATCTGTGTTGTTGATTAAACCCAACACTCCTCCTTGCATAGGTTTGTGTTTGCACTTTAGTGTCACATTGTGATGTTTCCTGTTTCTGTTCAGTTTGGTCTTTCATTTTGTCGCTGTGTTTTCTGTCCTGAAGATCTCATTGATCATTGCCTGCATCATTGGGGTCATAGCGTACCGCCTGGCGGTGTACGCGGCCTTCGCTAGCATCATGAAGGACAGCCCCACCAATCAGCTGGAGGTGGTCGGCCCCTACATTACACCCCAGCTGGCCACCTCTGTCACAGCCTCTTGCATCAACTTTGTCATCATCATGATCCTCAATCTCATGTATGAGAAAGTGGCTATTTGGATTACTGACATGGGTGAGGGCCAGAGCTCCATAACTTACTCGACTGTCCTGGCATAAAAATCTCTGTAAATCCTCTATTTTGGTTCCCGTGCAGAAATCCCGAAGACCCACCTGGAGTATGAGAACAAGTTGACGGTGAAGATGTTCCTCTTCCAGTTTGTCAACTACTACTCCTCATGTTTCTACGTGGCGTTTTTTAAGGGAAAGTTTGTGGGCTACCCTGGAAAATACGCTTACATGTTTGGGAGCCATCTGAGAAACGAAGAGGTAATGTTTCCACTCATTCTGTCCGTATCTTTATTAAAGCCTGTTTACCGCCCATATTTTCTCATTGTCAATCTGCGTGTGTTTGCAGTGCGACCCTGGCGGCTGTCTGATTGAGTTAACAACACAGCTGGTAATAGTGATGACTGGGAAACAGGTGTGGGGCAACATTCAGGAAGCGCTACTGCCGTAAGTACAGAAACCTTATGCTGCAGCTGCTCATATGGAGTAAATACAATGTGATTTAACAGTCTTTAAAAGACAAACTTGTCGCATAACCGAACAATTTAATACAGTGCTTATAATAAGAAGATTCCTGCATTATTGGTTAAATGTTTTCTGCAAGTAAACAAATAATATCAGCTTTCCTTTAATGTACACCTGATCAACATGTGAAAAGCTCAACTTACAGCAACACATAGTAGGTCTGATCTGTTGATTATATTTTCAATTAACCGTTTAATGATTGAACAGCAAAAATTTTTACAGAACTTAAACCAAGTAAAGTTAAAACTTTACCACTTGAGGAGTTTTGGGTAGAACATATTTTCTGACAAAGGACAGTTTTTTTCTATTTTAAATGCAAAATGTAGATACATTTTTTAGGATTTTGGCTTAGTTATTGCTCTGAGGAGGTCATTCTTTCTTCAAATAGCCTTATTTTGAGTCTGTATACTCCAGTTAAGAATTAATTAACGACTAAATTAGTTAACCATTTTTTCAATAACTGATTATCACCCCTAATTCTGATTGATTGTTTCAGTCCTAATGTGTGTTATTGTTTCTCAGTGTAAGTGTGTCTCCCTTAATCCTGTCAGAGGTTTTCTGAAGGCTCTCTGCTGCCCTCTTGTGTTCATTTTTAGCTGGGTGATGAACTGGTGGGGCAGCAGGAAGGCGCGGAGCCATCCAGAGAGCCTGTACAGTCGCTGGGAGCAAGATCATGACCTGCAGAGCTTTGGTCAGCTGGGGCTCTTCTATGAGTACCTGGAAATGGGTAGGATTTTCAAAATAAAAGATCCTCCAGACTCAAATAATATATAAAACGAAAATATTTAATTATTTCTTGCGCTGCCCGGTACCAATTGGGGTTGGACACCACTCCTCTAGATGGTGCTGTTTCATTGTTCCATCTCTCCTCTCCCTGACAGTGATCCAGTTCGGTTTCATCACACTCTTCGTGGCTTCCTTCCCCTTGGCGCCGCTCTTGGCTCTTTTCAACAACATAATTGAAATCCGAGTGGACGCCTGGAAGCTCACCACTCAGTTCAGACGTCCTGTGGCAGCCAAAGCCCACAGCATCGGGGCCTGGGAGGAAATTCTCAACGGGATGGCCGTACTGTCTGTCGTTACAAATGTGAGCGCGTAGCAGAATCTGCTGTCAGACCCTTTGGGTTGATTTTTCACAAAACCAACTAATGATTCGTGTTTTCCTGTTTTCAGGCATTCATCGTGGCCTTCACCTCTGACATGATGCCTCGGCTGGTGTACATGTATGCCTACCAGCCAGAGGGACAGATGAATATGAAAGGTTACATAAACAACAGTCTGTCCGTGTTTAACGTCTCTGCGTTTGAAGACTCCAGCAGGCCTGAGGAGGCCGAGAACCCGATGTGGCTCAACATCACAACCTGCAGGTAAGAAGCAAACAGAAAGTCCAGAGAGAGAACCGAGCATGTTCTGTCCTTCACTGTTAATCAGGAAGGATCAAATAATCTGCCGTTGGCATTCTTTATTGATCCTTTAAGTCAGGGATGTTCAACGTTTGCAGCCTGGGAGCCATTTGTGGCTAAGAACCCTTTCCTGAGCCAAAATGGCTACTCAATTTGCTTTATTTTAGTTTCTTTAGTTTTATCATATAAGTACTGATGATAAGTGTACATTTTTGAAAGCGGGACTTTATTACATATTTTATTAATCCTAACATGTTTTGCTTAAAGATCTAATTTAACAATAAAAATTTCAGTCAATGTCATATTGGGTGCTAACATTTCTACTAAACAGCGCAGTTTCAATCTTGTTTTTGAATTTCAATCAAAGCATTTAAGTTCTAATGTCTGATTTTCATATGTTTTTCTTTGCAGGTATCGTGATTATCGCTACCCCCCCGGGCACGAGAAGCAGTACTTCCACACGATGCAGTTTTGGCATATTTTAGCTGCCAAGCTAGCTTTCATCATTATTATGGAGGTAAAGAAAACAAGCTTCACTTTCTCTACCGTTCAGTTTAATTTAGCGACCATCTAAACATTTTCTTTCCAGCTACAGTAAATATCTATACGTAGATGAATAAACTGAACATTAGTCAAGAAATCTGAACACTTAGAATCTAAAAAAACTTTGTAATCTGGATATATGTATCCTTGTATCTCTTATTTCTTCTTTCCTCACTCCTAATTTTCCTTCTTTCCCGCCCTTCCTTCTTGTATCCTCCCTCGCTTGTGTTGTTTGCTCTTTCCTTTTGAATCCCCTTTTCCTTCAGCCTGTCCTCTCTTACTTTTGTCTTTCATTCATTACATCCAACTCCAGTCCTTCTTTCTCAAATCTCCCTTGTGTCCTTCTATCCTTCCTTTTTCATATATCTATTTTCCTCATTTCCTTTCTCCTGCCTGTCTTTCCTCTAATCTGTCCTTTTTTCATTTCTGCGTTGTTTCCTTGTGTCCTTTCTTTGCTTGTTTTAAAATAATCTTTTGTTTGAAAGTCAATGTTTAAGTCGGTTATTTTAAAATGTCAGTAAAGGACTGACAACTTTGCAAAAATCTGGGATTTTTATTTGAAATTGACTTAAGAATACAAGTATATGTTAACACTGTAAGGATTTCTTTTTTTTAATACGTTTCTTCTTCTTTTTCCTTCACAGCATGTTGTTTTCCTGGTTAAATATTTTGTGGCCTGGCTGATTCCGGACGTTCCCTCTGACGTGAGGGCTCGGGTAAAGAGGGAGCGCTTCCTCGTCCAGGAGTATCTTCACAAATATGAAGTTGATAAGCTGAAACTTCAGCTCAGCCAGCAAGGCGAGAAGGAGTGCACGTGTACGCCGATGATCTACCCGACCTTACCCAAACACGAGGTGCTGTCGGAGGTCCTCTAGCACAGGGAGCGGCTGGACAGTCTGTCTACTCACCTGCTGACTGTGGATTCACCGCTTTAGAGACCAAAACTCTGTGCATGCTGACGATTTGATACGCTTGAATTTAGACATCGCTCTCATTTATGTCTCCTTGTGAAGTTAAGATTTCCAAACTTTACTGTATTCACACAATAAGCCGCACTGTGTCTTTAAGAGACAGCTCACTCTTGTTTTAATGTAAGGCTATTTAAAGTGCCACCAAAGAGTCGCCTTGATATCAACGCTTACTGTTTCATTTTTTTCTTTTTTATTTTGATAAGGATTTCTGAAGTTCTCTGTGTTCATATCAGCTTATTTTTAACCAGATTTGCTTTGATCAGTTCACCATCGTTCAGGTCACTGCGCTGATAATTTTAGCAAATTATTTAAAAAATCCATCATATGTAATGTTCGATTGTTACTCTTAATTTCACCTCATTATGTTCCCCAGGCCAAAACCTGAGATGTGAAGCAGCTTTTTGTCCTGAAGGGAAATCAGTGCTGCTGTTTTGACTGTGACTGAGGACAGATTTGATCCTGCAGAGGCCAGTTCTTGAGCTGTGGCAGCAGCAGCTGTTTAGCGCTGAATGTGTACAGAGATGAAAGGATAAGAGTACTCTCTTTTTAAATTAAAAAAAATGTTTTTTGTTTTCTGTTTACCACACACCAGTGAATGGAAACCTGTGTTTGCTTCGTTACACAAAGCCCGTCAGCCAGCGCCTGCATCCATCCCTGTGTTTCAGCTTTTCTCCGAATAAAAGACACATTTTTCCTTTCATTTTGCACAAAGCACTTAAAGTAATGCAACTACATAACATAACATAAACATGTATAACGTATCATTATCATGACACCACGACTTTGTGATCAGTGTTTTAGAAAGCAGTTATCTACCTGTCAGAACTTTGATATTTATATAAATATGTGTGTGTGTTTTTTTTTTTATTTAAGGATCCAGATCTGGTTTAGAAACTCTATGAAGGACATTTCACATCATTTGTTGTTGCCTAAATGCAAACGTGCAGAACATTTTTGTTTATTGAAGGACTTGAATCAGATGTACAGTTATTGAATCTGTAGGTCTGTTTGAGATGTAATTGTGTGTAAGTTTGCCTCTGTCTTCCAGTTTGCCTTATCTATGCCGTGGGCTCTGCTGACCACTATGCCTTAAAACATCTCATCCAATTTTCCTACGACTTTACTTTTCTACCTATTTTTCTTTTTTTTTTTCAAGTTTGCTGCCATTATATTTGAGTCAGGATATGTTTCTGCTCATTCTTCAGGCAAAAATGAATTTGTTTACTATATTTTTAATGGTAAATGTTCTTTTTTTTTATGAGTGTCCTGTATCCAATTATATGAGACAACAAAAATAAATCTCTGAGCTCAGACAGTGTTGTCGTTTATTGTTCAGACAAATTCTTGACTTTTTTTTGGACTTGATATTATGACAAAACAAGCAGAACTATTACAGTTTAAGGAAATGGCTTTCGCTCCTGTTGCAGTCAAAACATAATATGATTTCTGCAATTATTGTACAGATTTTTCAACTGATTCATGGAGAACTTCAAACTCTCCAATGGGGAGGAGCCCACTCTGTGTTTGGAAACCACAGCTACAGACACCCAGAACAGATGGCCAGATTGAAAAAAAAGCACAAAACTATTCAGTGTTTGTTCACACTTTGAGGGGGTTTAGGGGATTACACCTCAAAATGCTGGCAGGGCTGGTTGGGTTGGCATCAGAGGTCAACAGGACAGAGACAAGGGGAGAACTGCAGCCCAGGCAAAATGTGAGGAATTACCTACGTATAGATTTATGGACAATAGTGCAATAGATAATAATAATCGATTAGCTTGATCTATATTATAAACCATGTCTAATATCAGTTAAATTACATAAATCATTAATTACAGTAAATGATTTATGTACAGTTCTCCATGTGGTTCTTTTAGAGATCCTCATTTTCCTGAGGGTGCTTCACAGGCAGAGCCAGCCTGAGGCATAAGCAAACTTAGCCACTTCAACCTGCAGAGGGCCACCAAGAGTCTTTGGATTCTTTGGTTTATTGATTGCATTGATTTATTAAGAACAAGGTAACTTCTAAAATCAATCCGTCATTTCCAAAATAGTGCAATTCAGCAGAAAATTAAACTTTGTCAACTTGTGAATGGATTTAATATGTAAATAAACTGACGAGCGTACGGTGTGAAGAATCTAAAGTTAAATTGAATGTTTTGTTGTTTTTTTTACCCAACAGAGAAATGGTGGATCAGACACTTCTTTTCCTTCACGTATGAAACATGTCCTCAGTGCATCAGTTGTTTTATATTTTTGTTTTCACAAACAGAATAAAGGTTTCATAAATCTTAAACTGTGTTTAACAGTCAGGGAAGAAAAAAAGTGGGGCTAAACAGATCGCAGGAAACGCCCCGATGAAACTGTGCTTTCATTTTATTTCCCATTGTCTAGGAAAAAAAGAGAAAAAAAACATTCTGCCTACAAAAATGTCTTTATTTTTCTCAAATCTTCTTCATGAAATGGATCGTCTAAATATTTAAGGATCATATCATTTCCCAGGAGAGCGGCTCCCTTCCACCAGCAGCTGGGGTTGGTTTTAATAATTAATGAAACAGAACATGTGATACTGTAATACCAACAGAGCCGACTGTAATAATTCAGATTGATGAACTTCATATCAGTTGATTGACAACCACAGAGGTAAACATTCTCCTCTCGCACATGTAGCTGGTCAGCTTGTTAAAGTCACTTTGCTGAATTACTACTGTTATTTAATTACAATGACAATTTATTATTTATATTGTCATTGGGCCATAGAGTAATGCCATAATGCTTTAATAATGGTGGTTCATATTAATTATTTCATATTTTACTGCTTTAAATTAGTTAAAAATGTTCCTGGATTACTTTACATTTCAATCTATTCACAATGTTCACTTGGAGGTAATAAAACGTATTTTTGTTTTTGCAATTTTTCTTTTGTAAGCAAGTCAAGGAGAGCATGGCTGCCATTTTTTTTCCCTCTAAGTAAGGGAACAAGTGCAGAGAGCCTACAGTCTGCGAGAAGCTGCAGAGATTGGATCTTTGTTTGTTGCTTCCCGAAACAAAGGAATAAACTGTAAGTTGTTGAGAAGCAGAATCAAGAGTTTCATTCAAGAGAAGTTGCCAAAACTTTTGTTGGATGGGTTGGTTTAAGTATGAAGGAACATAAACATTCAGCCTGATCCCTCTTTCATCCTCTTTGATCATCTGCTTGGTCACACACTGATGTGGGATGACAGACCCTTTTTCAGCTGGCATTTGTTCAGAGTCAGACAGTTTGGTTGTGTCGATCACTTTGTCAAGAATTATTTATCAAGAGCGAATTTGGCAAAGAATTCGCTCCGAACAATTATTGATGTTGGTTTGCCCAGGGCCCCAAACTGGCTAGGACCGCCCAAGTCCATATATATATATATATATATATATATATATATAACAAATCAACCAAACTCAGATTTATTTCAAGTTCACCGGATGTGAATTATCGCCACATGCAGGTCAAATGTTTGACTTTCAGCAAGTGAATGATGTAAATCTTATCTTTAAAAAAAAAAAAATCACTTCCAGCTCAGTCAGACACGAGAAAAGGACGGCGGTCGATCAGTTTGTTCGCGCTGACAGGTTTTGAATTTGTATAATTGAATTAAAGTCGCAGATGGATGGAGGGATGCAGGGATAGAGGGATAGAGAGAGGAGGAGCTGCTGACAGGTAGACGCGCTTCGTGCTCCTTCGTGATCCTCGTCCGGCTGCTGCCACACCGGAGATCCTCACCTCAGACAGGACAGGAAATCCTCCCCTCATCACATCTCAAATCATAATCTTGCTTTTTTCTCTCTCTCTCAACCCCCCTCATCTCTTCTGCTTTCGAGAAGATCTTTAAAAATGGCACCTCACGGATTAAAACCGCGCAAATCTCCATCGGACTCATCTTTGCCTGTGAATCTCTCTCTTTCTGGCTGAGCGTTCCTCCTCGTTTCTCCATTTTTTCCTCCTCCTCTCTCAGCTGCTCTTCTCAGGACAATCGAGGCGTTTTCTAACGCGGAGCAGGACGCGCAATATTTGGAATAACATCGCAACAAAATGCTTCTTTATGCCGCGCTCCCTTTTATCATAGTGTCTTAGGGTTTGGTTTTTGAACAGACAACTTGGAAATGGAGCCAGGGAAGGAGAAGGCATTCCCCATCAAAGAGGGGGTCAAACAGATCGCAGGAAAGGCCCTGGGAAAACTGTACAGGTAAGAGAAAGCAGTAATTTAATTTCATTTTATTCTTTCTTCTTTTTTTTTCTAAAAAAGAGAAAATTTTCCACAAACTCCTTCTCGTTCTTAAATCTTCTCACTCTGACAGCAGAGTCGTGTGGCCCGAATATTTAAGGGTCAGGTTATTTCCCAGGAGGACCCCCCATACACCCCCCCAACCTCCCTCCACCAGCAACTGGGGGGGTTAATAATTAATGAAGATAACGAGTCGTGACACAAAGTCCTGGAGAGATCTGTAAAAACCCACCAATCATTTCCCATCGATTCATTTCATCCAGTCATGACAGAAAGCGGGGAGAACAGTTTGTTGCTGATTCTTGCATATTTACAAAGCTTCACTTTTTTTCCCCCCTTTAAAAAACGGAGCGAAATTTTAAAGTATTTTAAAACAGAGCCCCCCACCCCACCCAAAAAAAAAAGAAGAAGCAGTGTCGCTGAATGAATCTGGTTTATTTCGCAGTTTTATTGGAACCTTTTGTCTCGTCGAAAATTCGCGTCGAAATTGTTGAATTTGAAGCTGCAGCGCGGAAACGTGACTCGTCGCCCAGAAAAAGGCCCGTTTCTCACCCACGAGGCCTTCACGGCCAACCGGGTCGCAGGAAATTAGACTTCAGGTTTTCTGTGGAGAAATTCATCGCGAGTAAAAGCAAAAGGCTAATTAAGAAAATAAATAAATAAATAGATGAATAATGAAAACGGTTGAATTGATCTTCAAACGAAGGATATTGATGATGATGATGCTGCATTGCGGTATGAAGGTCGGGATTTTTTTTCCCCCCCTTTCAGCGAGAAAACGGAAATAACGTTTTGATTTTTATGAAATGCATATTTTCTTTTGAGAGAAAAACGACAGTTTGTCTCCTTTTGATGCCTTAAGGATGCATAGAGAAAAGGTTTTATTTTCTTTTTTTTTCTCAATAAGTCAGCAAGAAAAAAAGCTTTTTAAATACCAAATTAAATGAAATGATAATAATAATAAATTCCAGTATTAGTCCTGTTCTTGATATCCTGTATTAATAAAGAAAATAAATAAAAAACAAAAAAACAAAGGCGCATATGTAACCTAAAAAACAACAACTAAACAGCTCATGCTGTTATATAATCGCCTTGCGGTGCAGGAGGCTGGAGAAGCGGCAGCAGACAGGTGAGGCCATCGAGCTGACGGAGGATGGGAGACCCAGAGAGGACCAGGAGCGCAAGGCTCCGCTGTGCGACTGCACCTGCTTCGGGCTTCCGCGCAGATACATCATCGCCATGCTGAGCGGGCTCGGCTTCTGCATCTCCTTCGGGATCCGCTGTAACCTGGGCGTGGCCATCGTCAGCATGGTGAACAACAGCACGATCCATCAGAACGGCAAGATCATCGTCAAAGAGGTGCAAACCCCGCCCTCCTCCACAGCAGGGGGCCCCTTCCTGTCCGATAGGTGATGGTGGGGCCAGAGCCTGCAGACCGTTCTTTTTATTTTATTTATCTAGCTGTCTGTTTTTTCTTCTTCTTCTTACTTTCAGTTCATGCTGAAAATAGAGAAATGTTTGTGTTGTCTTTGGTTTCTCCTATTTTTCTCTCACAAATAAAGCAAATGAAGGATTTCTCCTCTTTTTTAAATACTTACATGAAATGTAGAAAACGAACGGTGTTATTTTTACTATTATTTTTCTTTTTTGCCTTTATTTTTTTTAAGAAAGCACAATTCAACTGGGACCCGGAGACCGTGGGAATGATCCATGGCTCTTTCTTCTGGGGCTACATAGTAACTCAGATTCCAGGAGGCTATATTTCCTCCAGACTGGCTGCAAACAGGTAAAAACATGAACAATTTCAGGCTTCAGTTTCTTACCAGCTGCAGCCTTACTTTTAAAATGTTTGCATGTAATCAGTAACATTTGTTTTATCAAGTTGCATAAACTTTGGTTTGGGAATCTGGTATTTTTACTTAATAATTATGAGTAAAATAAATGCAAATTTATTACAGAAATCTCATCTAACTCAGAAGCTCTTCATTTTTACTAATTTGACATTCAATTAAAAAAATCATAGACTTACTGTTCAACACCAAAACAAGCAAAAATA